ACTCAAGTATCGATGCTGACGGGATTATACACCTAATAGCTATCCAAAGTGAGGGGCCAGCATGTTCTCAGAGATGAGAATCTGACATTTGTATCTCATTTGTGATCATTAAGCTCAAACAATCTAAAGTTTAGAATCGTCCATAAACTTTTGATCATTGGGAACGATCCAAGAACTTTCTTCACTCTCTTTTCCTTCTAGCAATGACAATGAAGAAGATAGACACAGTCCATAGCGCGGAGTTATTGCGGATGCCTCTATTCTCAAAGGTGGGGGGAGGAGGGAACCGTGAATCACCTGGACATCCCTTTCCCCCACCCCTTATCATTCTCCCCTAGACCCCCACCCTCACTTTTCTATTTCTCATCATCTTTGTTAATACAATGACACATAAATTAAACCACAGAACAAGTTTTGCTGATTATCAAATGTGCCAAGTTTTAAATTTGCTAAACATAAAGTTCCCTCTATCATCAAGTTTCTATTTTTCTATGTCCATTTTCCCGCCCCCTTATCACCCTTCCCCTAGACCCCCCCCCCCCCCATTCCTTCTTTATCCCTTGTCATCTTTATCATAACGATGAAATGTCAATTAAATCAGAAAACAAATCAGTATCCAGGGTGCTACAAGAATTTTTTTCACCACTTGCCCTGTCGGGCAAGTGGGTTTTCAATTTACTTGCCCAAACAATATTTCCACTTGCCCAAAACTTTAAAGCGAAAAAGGACTCGAGGTTAAAGCATTTATTATCTCGTAATGATAAGTTAGTGTTTTAGATAGCAAATTAATGCACATACATGTACAGTGTAACTGTACTGAATAATAACCTAATATGTCAAAGAAAATGGTCAACAAAGGATGGTTGAAGGTTTAAAAAACGCATTTTATTGATTCTCCATAAATAATCAGATTCACATGAATCTCGGCAAGGTAGAATGGTTCAAGCAAGTTTAAGTTTTTAATATTCAGTCATGTAAAAAAGCATAATGACCCTGTTGTAAAAAATATGATACAAACATGTCATTAATGGTAGCCACATGTACCACTCGATACTATTATCAAAATGACTCGCTCGGTCGGATCTTGAGACCGCAGTAATAAATTGAAAACGAGACAAAAACATTCATCTGATTTATATGAGCAGCGAGTTTTAAATAATATGTTCACAATCATTAACAGTCATTATGAATAAATATCAAACATTTGACTTTTTGTACTTACTAGAAAATCCCTGTTGTTTATTCCATTCCGATTCGCACGTGTTCATTTCCCTAGAATAATGACGTCATATTTGGCGTGATTCAACCAATCGGCAATCAGAGAATAGCAAAGGCCTGTCGGTGCGGCCTGCAGAGCTAGAGAGAGAGAGCGCGAATAAGCTCGCAGCTGGTACGATCGCGCTAGCTGTCTCTAGCTAGCTCACGGCCGGCCGTGCGTGGAGGCGGAGCGGCATTCATGGCTTGAAGTGTCACTGTTGCATGCGCGCTGAGCTAGCTGAGCTGGCTAGCTGTCTGTGAAGTTTTTTCGAAATCGGAACGATCGCTTTTTTGCTTCTGGATTTTGACGACGGGTAAGAAGTTGACGGGTGAATGGTAGAGTTCTTGGACACTAGGAAATTACTGTAAAAGTATCACTTGCCCGAATCGGGCAAGTGATAATTTGATTTACTTGCCCGACGGCTCAATTTGGTTGCCCCGGGACGTCGGGCAAGCGGGTTTGTCGCGCCCTGGTATCTAATTGGCTTAACACTTCATTCTTTCTGTCTTCACCTTTCTACTTTCCTTGGGTAAAGCAATGTGACCTTTATGAAGTTTCGTGTCATGTTGATCCCCAAACAATCAAACAGCCCTCTTGGGTTCCATAACAGAAAGGGTACACGTTAACGAGTACTCTGATATCTGTTTAATTATGACAGTGGTAACATTAGATCACTCTGACTAGTTTTGAAGGGGTAAATATGCATTTTTTTTTAAAAACAAACATTTAACTTTTGTCTCATGAAAGCCTTGTATAATTACATCAACTTAATGCAAAACATTGTAAGCTGGTATTTAATTGAAGATCAAGTTTTACTACAAGACGACATTCAGAAAATCATTACTTTTGCCTTGGTCTCATCAAATGCACTGAAATCTCATTTCACTTTGACAATCAATAATAATGAATTCTACACCCTCAATACATTGTCAGGTACCTACATAATTCACCTGGGTCGAGAGGAACACATGTGGATGAAATGCCTTGTTCAAGGTTGTAAGCATCTGGGAAGTGTTGAACCCAGGACCCCTAGTTTGAGAGTCAAGAGACCTCACCTATACACCACAAAACTCCCACCAATGAGAAAAAAAAATCATGATCTCCTGCTCATGACATATATATTGTGGACATCATTTATACTGCTGATTCTATGCAGAGAAACATATTTCACATCTCTCAACATGCTAATATGAATTTGTTGACAGATTGAATTACGTTGTGTATTCACCTTTCAAACAACATAATTCAATGGCATGTCACAAGGCCAAATATTATACTTCTACAAGCTCTGTTTTCTATTAATAACTGAATCAGCAATATCATTTAGCCATCTCATCCACGTTCAATTGAGATATGACCCATCATTCACCATCACTACATGAAATGTTAAATTATAAAAAGGAGGGTCAAAAGAAATTAGAAAGTGATGATAATGGGTTTGAAAAGGCAAGTATGCTTAAAATGTCCTGGTTTACACAAAGTCAATATAAGAAAGGTTCTACATTTTGTTCATGCTATCTTGCAATGCTATAGGTTGAACAAAATGTTTGAAAAGTTTGATTATCTTTCAAAAGAAATAGGTTTGGACTTGTGTTTATGTGATCACTTTAACATCGAGTTGCAACAAAAGTTGTCAAAATAGAAAATAATCCATTTGAAAGTGAAGTGTGCAAGAGATTGGAGAAAGAAGGAGAATTGGGCCATGATGGAGGGAAAGAAATAATGTAAGAAATAAATCAATTGATGTGACAGAAATAGAAAGACACAGATGGATTTACAAAACATGCACATTCATAGAATTGTGGATAACAGACCAAACAAGGCCAATGCCGGGTGAGGTTTCTGAGCGAGCACTATCACCAAATTTGCAAAGTAATGACATCAATATTGGATTCCACTCAAATCCAAACTAAATTTTCAAAACAGGATACATTACAACATTTGATTTACTTGCCATGCTAACAGTAAAACAGTTTGACAGGAATACAAAATTTACCCCCAGGCACCTCAAATTTCAGAACCACTCCACTATTCTTGGCAAGCCTTGCATTACATGACCAAAGGGACCTTCGAAATCTAATTCAGAAACCTTATCACAAAATCCTGCGTTACAACTACTTTTCATGAGTGAACCAATAAAGTGGCAATTTCAAAAGTCAATTTCTGCTTTGAGGTTGTTAGAATCTAACATATTATCTGACTAACTTTGTCCAGACTAGGAAATATTCATCACCTGGAAGTTATTTTTCAGAAAACTATCAAAAGTTTTGGAAGATTCAAAACTGCAGACTCTCACTTGAGGAGCTTTACAAATGACTTTGCTTATGATCTTTTAAAATGACCTAACCTGCTAACCAACAGAATATTTTTGTTGATGTATGGAATGTAATTGTCACAACAAGGCTACCAAAAGGTAGAAATACTCCACCTCCAATAAGGCGTGTCTTCACTATCTCGAGATTGCCAAATATTCAGCTATTTGAACTCTCCCGATCGAAACTATCCAGCTAATTTGCGTCTTCATTAGACCGAAGTAGCAAATTAGCTGGATAGTCGGGATAATATCCCAAGATATCTTGGGATAGTTTGCAAAATATCACACTATTTCCCAACTAGCGGGATAGTTTGCGACCGTCTTCATTAGACAGAAGTACGGAGTCAAATATCCCGATCCCATCATGCACAACGATTTCCGGTTTTCTGTGTTTACTAGTTGTACTAGCGCGCTGAGCGGTATAGATCGCATGTGCGCCGGAAATCGTTGTGCATGATGGGATCGGGATATTTGACTCCCTACTTCGGTCTAATGAAGACGGTCGCAAACTATCCCGCTAGTTGGGAAATAGTGGGATATTTTGCAAACTAGACCAAGATGTCTTGGGATATTATCCCGACCAACTATCCAGCTAATTTGCTACTTCGGTCTAATGAAGACGCAAATTAGCTGGATAGATTCGATCGGGATAGTTCAAATAGCTGGATATTTGGCAATCTCGAGATAGTGAAGACGGGCCTATAGTGGAATATTAGTGAAATATTTTGCAGGGATATTATTGTCTATCACATGGCTAGACATTTACAGACACTCGAGACCCATGGGCAACTAAAACCAAAGTCCAGATCCCCAAAAATAAATTCAAAATTTTCTGGGGCTCATCCATACAGATCCTCAAATTTAAATCTGGACCACTTATGAAGAAAGAATGAGTTTGAAGCCCTGGATGCTGTTTGGAAAAATCCTGTCTGCACCATGCAACTTCTAGAAAACAAATATCACAATTTTTTTTTAAGCATCACATTTTGCATACAGTAGCTGTACTGCTTATGAAGCTACTGCGTGACATGCTATTTCAAATTTTTCCAATCTTGAAATCTAAACCTGAATGTACTTCTGGCACAGAGATTTATTTCCAATCTGTCTGTATTATTTGTATGATTCTCCCCATTTTCCTTCAACATATCTCTCTTTCTCCCAGTAGACTCTCATTCTGTAGGCCCCTGCATCTCATGTTCTCTCATGCAATGAATCGATAACTACTATTTAAAGTAACTTTTGTCTTCGTTCCTACCGAGACATTTGTTAAACCTCGGAAGTCCAATTCATTAATTATCTGCTATTACCCTAAGTCTTTGAAATGTCAAATGCTCCCTGCACTTCTCTAAAACCTTTCAAAATTAGCCTGAGCTTCTGCATGCAGGATCTTAATAAAATCAGTGCAGCGGACAAAGTATACCGGTAACCTTTTTTTATCTTCTTTCTTTTTAATGATCATCTAGGAAAATACTGACTAATGAAAAGCATTGCTGATTAAATGAAATAAAATAACATAATTAAAACGATGCTACGATATTATTTCATTACAATAACATGTCTTATTTCTACAATTAATACATGTACATGTAGTTTATAAAATGAACAACTGGCAAGAATCAAGATGCATGTACATCTACTTGAAACAGCCATGATTACTCGCAATTTGTTTATTCTTTCTTTTACATCCATAGAAATAAATATCTTACTTATATTTAATTTTTTGATATTGAAAGCTTTAAAGAAGTATCTCAGAATCTTTATTATGACATTGTTTTGGGTAGACAAGTTGTTGATACATGTCCATGAACTTGCAATGCCCTCCAAAAACAATATGAATATGCCAATTCATCACAACTTAATTCAGGAAAAACATTTGGAAACGAACTAAGAAATTGAATTTCCTGGAATTTGATTGAATCGGTAACCCTCCTTTAGGGTTCAGTATGTTCCGTGAATATATAACATAAACAGCAAAGCAGACAAAGAGGGATAGACTGTCTGTGTACGAGTACTTGGGACAAAGTCAAGCGCATTATGTCCTATGTAAGATGACCCCCTGCATCTCTCTGCATCTCGGGGCCGTAATTCTGTCAAAACATGAAGTGGGGATCACTATCAGAGAGAATGCCGCTACGCGAGTTGCCAATTTGCTTGTTGTGATTCAGCATACTACGATACGCCATGTTACCACTTGTGACGGAGTGACTATCTGGTTCATGGATTGCATTTCTAGGGCAGGAGATTAAATGGGATTTATAGCCACAGATTAACATTTCGATTTCAATGTAGGCCTGAAGACCAGAGCTAATCTTATTGGGAATCAATCTCCAAGCCTACAATAATACACCCTGCATCAAAGCTCCAGACCTTCTCCCAACTTTATGTAGATGATAAAATGCACGTTGAATGAGATAATTGGATAATAACATAACATGATAATTGATGTTGCACGTCTCCATGTAGCTGTTTACACCGTGGCTGGTAAATTCTGTATATGAACTACAGATGGCAGTGTTTCATTTTTGCTTCACTGGCACACTGCAAAAGCTGGAAAAGTTGTAGTTACAATATACCCTGGAAATATCAAGTCATCAAGCATTGCATTCGATACTGTAGACTTTTGTATACATTGTTGCAGATCAGGACTGTGAGGGCAGTATACATGTACCAGTAGAGCATGTCTGTATTTGTCAACACTAAATATCTATATTTCTGATGACCAGAAAATATCTATTTAGTTTGAATCATTACCAGTATGCAGCAGAATCATTGAGATAAAAAGAATTACTGCCTCACTAATGTTTTTTGTTTAGGGCTCTGTACAACATGTTTGCATGTGTTTATAAAAATGCTAGGATAATTAATGAATGACTTAACCTTTTTAACCCATCATCTTTCCGCATATTTCCCACATCAGTTACATTTTAACTTTCACTAGCACTGCCATCATTAACATACTTATCAGAAACATAAATCACATTGTTATGTGAATCTCCAGTTCGATTCATAATCATTACCGGTACACACTTTTTTTTTCCTCCAGATTTCAACAAACTGTACTGTACATGTACATTAAAAACAACAAAATGGAACGAAATGGATACTTTCAAACAGGAATTTACTCTCTTTTTTGTCTCTCTCTCTCTTTCTCTCTCTCTATCTCGCCACAAAATACAAATAATCTCAAACATGCATTATGCCCCACTGCTTAGGCTGAATGAACAGTCGCAAACATTTCAAAAACTGTTCATGCAATTTTGACAAAATATCAGAAACCAGAACATCTGACATCACACTACTGCATACAATCAGAATCTTGTGTTTCATCTAATACTTATTTTGGATATCTCTCTCTTCTTGAAATATTGAAGTATAGTTTGATGCACTCCATAATAAATTTGAGCAAATAACAATTTGCAAGTTTATCCTTCTACTATTCCCTATCTAATTCTTGTTCCATTCATAATGCATTTCCATAATTGCCACACTTTTCACCTTCTCTCAAATACACTCATGTACTCACAGTATTGGCGAGCTCCAGGAAGTTGGCCCCTCCCCCAGCTGCGGTGGCACTGTCCATCAGCTTCTGAAGGAAGGTACCTGGCTCCGGACTTGTGAGATCACGAGCTCCGGAATCCCGCTCCCAACTGTCCCTCGCCGTAGACGATGCTCCTGAAATGATCAATCATCATCAAATAATCATGTTGTAATTATGTATCAAGAAGTAGAGTGATTTATCCTTTTGGGATTGGATAGACACACTAATGAACTCTAATGAGGACAACTTTTTTCATCAGTCCTGTCTCTTTTTTTCCATGTATACATAAAGCTCTTCCAAATTTGCAAATGGTTGAGGTATGTGAAGGTTTTATGCCATGAAATAGACAATTTAGATTGAATAACAACCTGAAATATTTGATATTCATTAAAGTTTCTCGCGATAAAAAATGACCATTATTAATAAGTTGCATTAAATCAAGTGTCTGGTTTTTACATTACATATGCTTTTGTAGTGTGAAAATAATCTGATAAGTAGAAGGACTATAATTTTATGAATAGAAATAATTTAAAGAAATATGAATAGCAGTAGCAGCAATAACAACAGCAGTTGTAGGTATGCATGTAGAAGTGCAGGATAAAGTAGCCAACATACCATTGAGCATGATGTCAATTTGTTTGGTAGTAAATGGGGGTATTATTAAGACTCCCTGTCATCTTTCATTTCTGACAAAAAAAATCCTCAGTATTTCCATAATAAACAGAACTTATAAAGATTTTTCATAATGCTCATTCTTTATGGGTATTAGGTTTGATATATGATACTGGTCTCGGGTGCTCGATATTTGTTTTCTCCATGGGGTATTCTCAACATGGGTTCTCAACCAATAAAGGCACGTTCACATATTGTATGATAAGGTAGACCACAGTGTTCTTTTTAAATATTTGTTAATGATAATAATAGCACACTATACATCACCTTTCTGTATCTTCTAACATACAGATGGTGAGTATGTGTAGGACATGTGTTGCGTGAAAAACATTCTCTCATTCTAAAGCCTCGTTCAGATATGACGCAGGTTTTACGCTTGAAATTATGCTTCACATTTCTGTATCTTCTACACAGAGCTCACTGAATCTTCAGGACCCTTGTAGTACGCAGTTGCCATTCAGTAATACATTGTTTTTTTTAAGTGGCAGCTTTTTAGCGCCGGTTTATACATATACATGTACGTCTGAACAAGCCTCAACTTGCCATTCATTTACACACCAAAGAAATCCCACTTATTTACTGCACCATATGTGAACGTGCCCAAACACTTCTGCATTACACCTTGTGGGAGGTTGGAAAAATCATCTCAAGAATTCTTATATAGGGGAATATTACAAGAGTGACAGGGGGCCGTGGTTATCTGTTCTTTCTTGTTAAATTTGGTGAATTCCATATTTGTAAAGGTGTGGCCCTGAACTGTATTTTTGGATTCCATGAGCAAGACATTCTCTATACCATTTTCTTCTTCTTTTCCTTCATATCCTTTTTTTTCCTCAGAAAAACGAGAATGTAGCAGCCCAAAGGCACACAGGTTAACAAGTATGTCTCCATATCTAGGACCCTCATAACAAAAGTATGAAATCTGTCAAAATAGACCAAGTGGAATCAAAGAAGTAAGTTGGAGAGAATGATGAATTTTATTCTGATTGTTTGTAATTGACAATTCAATTTCGAATGCACAAAACAAAAAGCTAGAGAAATAACAGAACTGAAGGTGTATGACACTCTCTGCTATGAGCATGCATGGAGGGCGTAAGATAAATTTTTATGGATATACACGTGTGTAAATGCTTTCTATTCCTCAATAGACTAAATAATCTGTTGTGAGGCAAAAAGGCATTAACTGTGTATTGAATGCTATGAGTTAACTTCCTTCTGAACCTCAGCAGATGAGAGATTTCTTGCAATAAATCTCACCTAAACTGTTATCACTGCTAGCTGGCCATGAACCTAAATGCCCGCTTCGCGGAAGGCTAGAATTACTGCCCATCTTCGGGGAGCCCGCCCTCTGTAGTCTGTCCTGGTACAGCTCATCAGCACTGCTCATACTACCTCTGTGGTGGTCTGGTGGTCTGGCGGGTGAACTTTCCGTCACTGACCTGATCTCGCCCTGTAGCTTTTGCTGGCACCGTAAGAACTCTTCAAAAGAGATTCTGCCATGACGGTCGGCCCCAAGCTGTACCATTAGATCATGCACGCTGTCCTCCATATTCAGCTCACGGCACATCAAGTATATGTCTTGTCTGTAAAGAAACCAAAAGAGGCATATATTGAATAAAATGTTCAATAATAATACCAATTCAAAATACATATCTAGGCCATTTTGTATGAGAACCTGAAAAATATCAAAACTCATATTTGCTTTTAGGTAACAACCAATATAACCATATTTCACCTGAAACAAGTGAGTAACTAGAATTTTACTGAGGTGACATAATAAACAGCAAAACAATACAGCACTTTCTTTTTCTTCTTCTTCTTCAAGATAATCTGCCTCCTTCAATACAGAAGATTCTTGCAGATGCCATATACTCGGCCTGATTGGGGTGTGCTTTGACCCATATCCATGCCATCAGCCTAAAGTTAGAGATTTTGACAAGACTTTAACCAAATCTGATGGCAATGAAAGTTCAAGTACTGATGTATCATCGAACAGAATATAAGTTATTCATTAAAATAAAACTCACGGTTACATGGGATTTCACTTTTCTGTACAAAGCTACAAAGAAACCTCTACCATTTTGATAGGCCCTGTATATCAAAGTGATAACAGTGGAAAAACTCCTTGGGAAAACATTGGACATACCGGTACATGATCATGCAGACAATTTTCTACCAACTTGATTCTTTGGCTCCAGTTAGGTGCACTTTCTTGACTATTTCATGTTCAATTCCTTTTTCTAAATACAGCTGCTAAAATGAGATTTTTCTGTGGAATTATATTTATCCTCCTTTCCAAAATTAGAGCCACAAGTTATTAACCTCCTCTGATGCTATAATAGCATGTTATTATTGGACTTGGGTCACTGGAGCCCACGATTGGTTGATATCGAGAAGAAAGCAGGTCGCTGAGGTAGTCAGATGTCACATAACTTTGATGATCCCAAGTACGTGATGACAAAGACATACCAAGACAGGCGTTCCCTACAGACCAACCTTTGTTGACATTGAAGCAAACATTGAGCCATATGCACAGGACACGACAAAAACAGAGCTTGGTGAAATGTTTCCAAGCATTTTCTTTCATGCCATTCAACAATTCAATGCCTTATGTGAATAAACAAATAAATGTACCTCTTCCTCTTGTGTTTCTGTGTTTGTTTTTTTCTTCTCAATTTCCATACATTTATATCAAATTATTTCATCTTCTGGTATACTTTGTAGTCTTCATATTCTTTTTCTCCTATTCAATATCGATGCTTGAAACATATGAGTAAGATACGTTATTCTTTTGAATGGGCAAAACCCAGTAAATTTAACTGCTGTTAAGTGAACAAATAGTATAAGGTGCAATATTGTAATATTAGGGGCTTTCATACTAATATGTATGTTATAAAAGTTTTTTCTTTTCCTTCCAATGTAGTCTATACAACTCTTTAGTATCTTCAGTATTTTGAAGAGACAGTGAAAATCTCTCATATTTCTATGAAGCATTAAATGTCAATGTGTATGCTACTGATGTGCTCTTGGTTACTTTATAAATAAAGATCATTCTTAGAGCACCATATCTTTATAAATATCTTAAATATACAAAACAAACTCTTTATCATAGTATCAATAAAACACACTATTGCTCACTATTAAAAGAGGAGTGTGCATTATAGTGTACATATGAAAATTCTGCTAAAAGGAAAGTGCAAAATAATCCCCAATCCCCTGAATTTTTCTAAGTGATAGTTATTTCTACTCTGATACCCCTCTATACAAGCTAATGATCCATCCACGCTGGAAGATATATGCCAGATGGGACAAATTCATCCTCATGTACATATTTGGTAGTAGAAATGCTCACTGGGTTACCATGGCAACACATCACTGGCTGTCTGTCGGTGAGAGTTTGATGTGGTATTAGTCATCTCCTATTACGAGGAGCCGGGTCTCATCAATTATACCGGTCTATTTACAAATCCTGGGGTGGGAGAGGATACGCTGCGCTATGCAGATGATCCTCAAAGTTATGAATATTTTATCCATGAGTATATGATTTGTCTGCGAATGTCACTGGTCTACACTTATTTGTACCTGTCTTGTGAGCTGACCGAGATGAAAGGGAAATACAGACCTAAAATGTGGTTTTTCTGCTGGTTCTCATGGAAATGGGGAGGGTTGAATAAGGAAAGAAATTCTGAATTATTGACTTTCCAATTGGATATGTTGGAATATTAAAGCCAAACTGGACACGCTACAGGCCCATATATCCTTAGTTTTCAGTATCATGTTCACTGTTCAATGATTTACATTAAATGTAATAACAAAAATGCTTTGAAAGTGCTTACAATACAACAGGACAAAAGATATTTAGAGGAAAACACCTTTCTTTAATAGATGAGTTCACAATCTTTCAATGATTTGGGGAGTCTTTTTCCCAACCGGCAGTTGCTGAGAGCAACAGTCCATCTCCCTATGATAGGTTAGTTTTGGGGACAATTAGATTTATTAGAGTAGATTCTATGATGTATGGAGACCAGAGCAACATTGCTTGTGAAGGTTGATAAGAGAAGAGATGTATTAGGGTAAGGAGAATTTCAAAACACAATACATGTTTGTGATGAGAAATTGAGAAGGACTTTATATATAAAGTGAAACATTGTTCAACTGGAAACCAATATAGTAAAAGAGTAATGAGTAAAAGAGAAATGCACAGTTATCACAAAGAGTATAGATTTTTTTTTTAATTCATAAAATTAATATATAATACATCATGGAAGGAAAAACTCAAAAAACCAATATAAAGTTGAGGAGAAATTCAGAAACCAATAGGTCTACACCATTTGTAGCCAAATTTAAATATTACTCAGTATATGGTAATGTGTGTACACAAAGAGGACGGCAGATGGCAAGCCTATGAGCTGTGATCTCATGACTATTTCACACACACTATTGACTTTGTTGTTTGAGTTCGAGAATCGAGATGCCGTTTTCCTCCCAGACACCCCGGTCAGATGAGGACAGAACAAACAATCCCTCCTCAATCGCCATGGTGATTACACTCTGGTCTGGCTAGCCAGTGCACACAATGTGGGATCACAATCAATAGTTTCCCGTTTATTTTTCACTTAGCCCCCATCCTCCTTACCATTCTTCACTTAGGAGTGGCAATGCAGTGTTTGTCCTACTCTTTAAATCAATGCTCAAACTGATGAGGACATATTAGGAAGACTTTGTCATGGAGCATCAAAAATAGACCCTGCAGGCATCCATATTTCCTGGAAATTTGTAAAGAAGTATGAAGAGACAAACATTATTTGGCAGGAGGGGCAAGATCTGAATATATATGTATATACAGGTGTACATGTAAGAATATAAAATACACTGTACATGTCTTCAATCTGGATGAAACCATTTATACAACAAATTGGGTTAGTATAAAACAGCATACAAATTTATTTATTTTAAATTGCAAAAGTCTAGTCCACAGCATGAAGAATGTTTAAGGTATTTTGACACTTTAAATCAGCCAGTTATGTACCGTTGTAGACAGAATGACAAATAATCTTCAATTTCAAATAACTTTGTAGCAAAATTCAATATCTCTCTCCCTCCCTCGCTCCATCTCTCACTCTCTCAGTTAATAGCACACACAAACTCCACAGTGACTCTCTCTCTCTCTCTCATTACCAGTTCACTTGGGGTAGGATGAGAAACAGCTGTGCAATGTCTGTTTCAAAAATAGATTTCTTGTTTATTTTCACAGATGTCCTCATACATGTCATCTTTACATGATACCAAGACGCCGTTGCCTCATATCTTTCAGACTTTCATAAGCTGAGCATATGTGTGAAGTGACTACTGGACAAACAATATTTACAGATATTTATGCAAATATTGACTGAAATTGGTAAATGATAATGTATCTAACTATCTAATGATGTATTCTACATGTACTGTAGGGTACTGTAGGAAATAGCACCAATTGCATGAAAATAAAAGCAGTGAAATTTGCTAACTAGATGTATTGTGACTGCATAATTATGAAACATAACAAATAGAAATCTGAATTTTCCAAGCATAACCTACATTATTCACAAAAAAACTTAATAAAATATGAAATATTTGGAAAAAAATATAATGAATATAAAATCAAGTGTATTTGCATACATATAAAAATACATCATCTTAACATTACAAAATAAAACAGTATTTTTAATATTCAATGTATATTTTAATAGTGCAGAATTTTTGACTCTCCATTAAACTCTCCCAGGAGGAATCCAAAACCAAATCATCCTCATAAAACTACTCTCCATTCATTCATTCATTCAGAAATCATCTCATAAACTGTCATCATTATTAGTCACCTCTCTATTCCAAAATCCATTCTCCACACCTCATTACTCGTTATTCATCCACAACCAACTCAAACACCTCTCTACGATTAATTGACTTGAGGGGGGAGGGAGAGAGAGAGGGGGGGGGGGGGAGAGAGAGAGAGGGGGGAAGAGAGAGAGAGAGAGGGGGGAAATTATTTTCGCCACCACAGTCTCTCCCAATGGCGACAAGTTCAAATAGTAGGTCGCTGTAATGAAAAGAGATCAAGTGATGCCTTGAACTTACAGCAGACGTGCATGCCCATAGTTTTGACGATCAGCTCGTCTGGTGCAATTACAACGGTGTGAGTTCTCCCACACCTTGTACTATTAATGAGACATATCAGAAGCCTTTGTTCGATCTCTGACACATCCCAGTTGAGATGCACAACAGAGAAGAAATAAGGATTGGTCAGAACCAACTTGGTTTAATGGGGGGTAATGCATTCAGATACATGGAGTACATATTAAATGTACCGTAATTAACGGTGTATAAACCGCACCTTTTTGCCGCCGAAAAAAATTTAAAGTCGGGGGTGCAGTTTATACACGGTACACCAAAACAAAAACAACAACAAAAATTTTTTTGAAGTTTCGATTTATGCCCCTCCATCTGGCGCTATGCCTGGCAATGTCTCCCAGCTCAGTAATCCGTGTGTTGACTCACCACGAGGAAACTAGAACAACACTCATATTTGTCTGTCATCTTGGTTTGA